TCCTATGCATGGAAACAATGGAATCGCGTGCGCAAGGTCAAACATTGGACCCCCAAGCGTACGAAAATATTTGCCATTAGTTTGATTACCGGAAAGATAACGCTACCGGCTGTTGAGCTACAATAGAAGAAAGCAGATTGGCCTAGATACATGTAGGTAAGATTGACCACACTACATTAGTCCTCTATGCAAAGCACTGCTCAAAATAATTTGGTTCCAATCCTTACTTTGCATTGTTGGATTTCCAGTGATTTTTTATTAGGTGGCTCGAAAGTTCTGGGACATTTTCAGACGAGATCTCTATCTCTCGAAACTTAATTCACATACATTGGACAGAGGTACCATTCGACAGAGCAAAGCAAGCTCTACAAGATGGTATGCAAAAGTTTACAGCAGTTACGATTCACCGTAAGTTTGCACCCAAAATCTGAGTCGTACTAAGATTCAAAAAATCGCGAAAAATTCATATCTTTGTTTAAACAAGTCCTACGGATCTCCACCTTGCTCACAAAAATTGCCATCCACATTAGATACTTATTTGTATCGTTCCCGTATTTTTTCTTTATCTGGAAATCGAGTACACGAAATTTTCATGATTTAGCAAACGAAGCTAGGCTGTTTCCATTGATGTAATTGTATTCTAAGATCTCTTGGGAGTATAGCCGTAAATTTTTAGCTTTCCGTAAGCCCTAGTTGTGATAAGTTGTTCTATAGAGTTGATCGATGGTCTAATTGTCCGCAACATATTCTTCGCACCTTTGCATCTGCGAGGTGCGAGCATGCTTCGCCGCAGCTGGGTGCAGGTGCACCCAAGCGGACGGACCAAATAGGCGCATATAATCAATTAGCTCATTTTTCTGTGATCATAGAGGGACCAATATACAGGGTGTCCCAAAAAAATGTTAACACTGTTTGATCGTTAATAACTCCCTTGCTTTCAAGTGTTTCGCCAAGCTTGAGGCACCATTCTGTAGAGCGAGGTTCAACTTAGATTTACAGAATGGAGGGAATCATATGCCCTCTGACAAAACTTTTTTCTAAAAAATCTGAAGAATTGTGTACTAGGGTTTTCGCGCATGCTAATTTTACTACACAACTTTTTACGAGTGTTTTCAGCTTTTTTAACGGTGTAATCCCATTTTTGACACATGCTGGGAAGTCAGTTATTACACTTTACCTAGGATAACTTTGAAAAAGAAGTATCATAATAAAATGGAATTTTCATATCCGAAATCAGCGGTTACTACCATAGCACAAGAGATTTTGGCTTGTTTGGCTGTGTTTCGAAGCAGAAAATGGCCTTTGATAGCTTAAATCCTTGTCAAAATTCCTACCGTAATTCTACAGTAAAGAGGAGAGTTAGATGATTCGCTCCATACTGCAAATCTAAGTTTATCCTCGCTCTACAGAATGGTACCCAAAGCTCGGCGAAATACTTGAAAGCAAGGGAGTTATTAACGATCAAACAGTGTTAACATTTTTTGGGACACCCTGTATATTTTTGGAGAGCTTATTGCGTTAGATTTCGAATATATAAAATTTGTGGCGTTTGGTGAGATTTCAGGAAACGGTCAAAAATCCCTAATGTGTGATTCTGCAGTTTTCAGTTCATCTCGCTGTGATTGGTTCCACCAGAAAGCACACATACGCATGCAAATACTAAATAAGCAAAGAAGCCTACGCTATCACTGTACAAAAAATGTTGGCACGTTACCACGCCCATCCTTGAGGCATGGTCTTTTGAAGATAGTCTCACATCGAAGAGCATGAGCAACCTGATTTGGGCTCCTATATATTGCAGGGAAAACAGCGCAAGTGGGTAATTTCAAGTAGGCCTTTTAGAAGACTTGTTGCTTTACAACAGCATTGAATAATTTGCCCATGATACAGATTTTTCGAGTTACGTAAAATCTGAACTTTTCGCCCAGCCAAAAAATTTTTTATCAATAACTTGCACCAGAAAATCTCATTGAAGCGAGCTATACAGCGATTTCTAAGCCAAAAACCCCAGGACCGTGGACGTTTCGTGGCGTCATCGGAAAAATGAAAAAAATTGTGTTTTCGAAAAAAATGGTATTAGATAGAGCGAAGGACTCTAATTCTAAATATGTGTCTTCTTCTGCTTGAAAATGATTTTTTAGGAAGTTACGTTGTTACGGCTTTTCCGGAACAATATTGCGCTTAATCCGCTGTTTTTAGCGGCGGCGGTAATGGTATTGTAGTTGTGTTTTTTGAGCAAACAATAGAAAGCAGTAAATCTGCTTCTCTTGACTTCTTTCCTCGAATAACTTTTGATAAATTATAGCCCTTGGACAAAAATGCTCAGTCAAACGGATTTGACTGGCCTTTGTGCCCACAGGAGCATAAAACGCTCATACGAAGAGGCCTCACCTTAACTCAGTCTTCCTGTGTCTAAATAATATCCATACGTAAGCAGACCATTCGAGCAAAGATGAGAACCAGAAAATGAGGTTGCCGGCGTTGCGGTGCGTGCGTGTTGCGCGCATCGTCACGCGCATCGTCACGATTTTTTGAATGTCCCTTAACTGTTCAGGAGCAACTTTCACCACCCAATCACCGCACCGTAAGGGCGCCAATATTTTGGTGCGCCAAAATTCCAGCGCCACTTACAAACAGTCCCCCGAAGAAAACGCTCAGAAACACAAGGTCAAATCGTGCATAGGAGGTATTAAGCAATCTTTACAAAAAACATTTAAAAAATTCAGAAAAAACTCTATTTAGAAACGCGGAAACTAAAAGAATCGTCAAGATTTTCTCTGTGAGCACAAAACTCTGAATGAACTCAGAACCTTTCTAGACTTTTCTGAGATGAAATTGTAAAGCGCAATTTGCATTATACCATAGCCCTCATTGCATATGCAGATGTTCCTCCACAAAATAATACACGTGTTTGCGAAAAATACCTGCGTACGAGCAACGACCTCATGTTCGAAATCGATTATGACGTCCCAGACATGCAAAACCTTCAAATATAAAACAAGCCTCTAATTGTGAGATATGTAGGAGAGTATCTATCATGAGTGATTAGTCAGAACGATTTCAACTCTAATTTAGAATACATTTTCTGATGGCGCACTCAGGAAGGCCGAAACTACACCAATTTTCGGTATGCTGCTTTTCAACTACGTATATAATTGGAAAATCCTCTTCTACATCTTCAAATCTTCGTACTTAGCAGTATTAGAGGCGAAGGATTGCTCTACTTCCACGCACTTACAAACAAGAGATAAGGTTCTCAAAAATGTCTTATATAAGTTCTCAAACTCACGATTCCGTACAAAATACACTTAAGCTGACGAGGGAAATTGTGCTTTTGCCGAAATGTAAAGCAGACAAATTTTGATTCGAATATTGCATTACGATAGCGAGGGGGGCAGCCAACATGAACGATAGATTGTGCCAGCCATATGCGTTGCCTAGGTCAAATATTTTTCAGATTCTATATCTGCGCTATGATGGCATTTAGGAATTCAGAAAAACACTGGGAGCTTGAGGGCCTTAATCTTTACCATCTCGACACCATTTTTAATCCAGTAAAGAGCCTACTTCAAAAAATAAAACTTTATGCGCGGTATATTGACCCGCAGGAGTACAATATGCTTTTCCAGCTATCGTTCATTTTGGCAGACACCCCCGATAGCAATTGTTGGTAGAAATAGTTGCATACCTGAATCCTCAATCCCTTCTAGTATCCTTCTGGTACCCAAGGAAACAGCGTCGGTAATTTTGACGCACTCTGTATATGCCCATCAAATCTACTCGATGTAGAATAGATGAAATGGCAACCATTGCAAACAACGCCTTTCTGCTATAATAGAAGTTGGGATCCTAAAAATTAGAAAGGTTTGCAATGCAGCTTGCAAAAAATATAAGGTAAGCCCTGCGTGTTCTTTTATTTTTGTAGTAAAAAATATTCAATTTAGAAATGAGGGGCTACTGCACCACACGCAGCGATGTCCGCGCTCTCCCATGCATAAGACTGTCTGGCATACTATCAGGGCTGTTTTGAAATCTAAACCATTGTCCAAAACTACATGGAATCCTTTGAATCTTGCTTGCGAAAGAGTGCACGACAAAAGCGCACTTGTCCCTTTACATTAAACTTTGATTGCGAATTCAGGGGATTTTGGACCATTTTTAATTTTAAAAAAATCAATCGCAATTGCTTACACGTTTAGAAGATGGAAATAATTAATCTGTTAGACATATTCTTTCAAAAATTTGTCAGTTTGAGTGCAAGCTTTCTGCGCTACGGAAAAAAGAAACTAGAGCCATCCTCGCTTACTCGGCTGCGACTTTAGCAGTCATGTACATAGCGATAGCTAAAACCGCCATGCTGTGTTATTGATCGTCATTATCTGTAAATCTTTTACAAATTATTGAAATGAGCAAATTTTCGATGTGCAGTTCTTCAGTTTTGAAATTGACTGAAATATCGACACATTTCAATTTTCCACTTTCTCGGTAATCGATTGACTTAACATGTCGGTATTGAAGTACTAGCCGGTGTACTCGGTTTCCCGGGTCCTTTTCAGCATAACGCGAAAATTTCTTCTACACGAGGCTTCCTTATCCCTGCTACGCTAAGTTCCCCCCCCCCCCCTTATCCCGGTTTGGTGACCAGAGATGGTCCAGACGTGGAGGCAGATTAGCACTGTGCATGTTCTTGCAAAACTTTCGCTAATGCAATCATGGTAATATGTGGACAGTAACCGTTTTTGCGCTATCAGACACGAACAAATTGGCTCTAAGATGCATATGTTAACCCTTGACTTCGGCTAAAGTGACGAGAGCAACATATTGGGACTCTCGAAGTAAGGAAAAGGGCAGTCGGCTCTATTTTCAATTTTTTGGTAGTAAAACCATATGGTAAGTAAGTTGAATGCTGCGAACTTCTAAACTTACTCACAAGAAAGTGGTAACAGGAGACTTTCACTTTTGCTAGAATTCAAAACTCAGTTTTCTGCTTGTGTAATAGGATGAAATATGGGGAATTAGTGGTTATCGCCTGCCTCGCCAATGCTCTCATGAAGATGTTCAGAAGCGTACGTACCGAACTTAAGGATAGCGGCTCTTCCTAATGGAATGAAACAGTTTGAAGGGCCTTATATTTTCTTTGATTATAGACGCATTCTCCCAATTTCTAAGAAACAACCGACGAACTGACGGAAGAAAGTGTGCAAGTTGGCATTCTCAGAAATTAATCTGCCATTTACTTTGCTGTTCCATCACTTCGTCATGTCTGTCGCCTGCGCTACCGAACATACAGTAAAAGGATAGTGATATTCACTTTTGCATAAAGAAAGTCGTGCAATGGCAATCTCTTTATTAATGCCCTTTCTTCGAGTTTTCAGTGTCAGGTCCGTAAAATTATACAGAACCATGAAGCACTGGCCTTGATCAGCAACAAGCAATTGACATCATTTGGTGTCTTAGTAAGCAAAATGCATTCAATATCGGTGCTTGGCACTTTTTATATTTATGAAAAGCTGGTGAGAAAAGCTCAAATAGTTTTGAGTCATTCAAACACCGGCAAAGATAACGGTTATAAGGGAGATTCTACGAATTGTTAGTAGCATTAAAGGCGAATTATGTTGAGCGCGTTTAGTATGCGGGTTTACAGCAATTTCAGCAATTCTGCTCCTATTTTTTCACGTTATCATACCATAACTAACTTGGATGAATTTCCTTGAGTAGAGTATGCCCCAAAGGATAACGTGGGTGACTCCAGGAAAATAAAAAGATTTCCGATTAGTAACTTGCACGGGGATAGTTCCTTCTGATTAGAGACATTTGCCTCGTTACCGAAAAGAAGGGGCTTGAGACTTTTTGGCAAACTTGTAGTAAACGACTTTTTTATTTAGTATAGGAAACGCTAAGTTTTTTCCTACTTCTAATTAGCTGAGAGAGTTTTTACAAATAAGGCGTTCCATAAAATGTTATGATTTTTGATGAAAAATAACAATATAATTGACTTTGCTGTTTTCTATTGTACGGAAAACATATGGCTATAGCGAGACACTTGATTCAACACAAACTTGGCTTAGTCAAAAAAGCTAGTCCGAAAAAAAGTATAATTTCTTTATGGCAAACTTTTGAGATACATCAAACTAAGTGGTCTTCTTCTTCGTTTCAACGTAATAATATTTTTTCTAGACAACTGCTAAGGTGCTCGTACTTACAAAGCAACATTTTTTCTTTATCAGCTCAATGCCAAGCAATTCATTGAGATTGGCGGAAGCCTCTTATCAAAGTGGGTTTTACAATTTCGACAAATTTGCGCGGCATATGTAGATGGGTGTTAGAAGTTCGTATGCACTATTTGAATTTGCGAATATTTATTCATCATTTTTGCGGTAGTTCATCAAACTGCAAAAAAAGCTGAGTAGTGACCGTCCTATACACCTATAATTAACAGCAATCTAGCCAACGTTTCAAAAATTCGAGATAAATAAATAGTAAATATGTAACTCATGCAAAAAACCTTCATATATTCTTCAGTGCTGCTGTGCCGAAGAATATATGAAGGTTTAGTTTAAAAGTGGAACTTTTAAACGAAACCTTCATATATTCTGTATATTTAGTATACTATTTTAACGCTTTTATACGTCCGAGTCTTTCGAAGATTTTCTCCAGATCTTAGGCTATATCTTTTGCTTCTCTCAGATATCCAATTTATTCTTAGTAGCTCAAACACCTGCACAAAGCTTTCGTTTGCTTGGGATCGTAAATCAGAGCTGGAACATCCGATCTCATTCCAGGAAAGATCATGCTTCCGCTAGTCAAATTGCTGATGCTGTTGCTCCTATTGCAAGTTACGGTGGAGTGAAAACAAATTATTGGGAGATGCAAAGATTTTTATCCGCCGAGTCTTCGAGATTCTGTGCGTACCTGCATTACGAACTGCAAAAAACTTCATGTAAGTCTTGGTCTTGTATTCCATCGCAATAGATCTGTTTGTTTCAGTACAAGGGAGGCTTTGCGACATAAACGACCTCTGTACATGTGACCGTTGATCGCACAACAAGCCAGGACGAGTTTTGAAACAGTTATACCTTGTTGAAAACGTGTACATAAACACTTCAGCATTCACATCTGAGTTTACTGTTTACTATACGTTAACGGCTGAGATAAACGTCTGTAAATGTATGCCATCTTTATATTTATTAGAACTATAGATGCTTTATTCGATTATCACTGTCCGGCCTCTAGCTGTTCAACTGATAAAAATACCAGTTCGTTGAAGGAAATGGTCATGAAACGTACACCCACCCGTAAACTGCAATGGACCGTGGATGTGAAAGTACCGATGGGCAGAGCTTTGCAACTCGTCAATATTCCTTGAACGTGAGGTCTTTTGAAAACATTTGAGATTTTCAAGAATTAAAATAAAAAATGAAACAGAAATTATCGTCAACCAATAGAATAGCACACTTGTTTTCCACTTGATTTCTAAATAGTTATAGTCCATTCGTTGATCTCACGGACAGGACATCACTACGGAGCACGTGCCGCGAGGTAAAACTTGCTCTAGTACAAATTCGCCATGGTACAAATTGTGCTCTCGCAACATTCATCTTAGCCGCGCCGTTCCGCAGCGTTTGAGCAGCCCATGCGGTCAACGAATCAACGATAACACTTCTCGATTATTGTCCAGTAGAAATGTAAAAAATGACTAAAAGTGATCGGAAATCACAAAACAGTAACCAGATATTGGATTAATTGACAAATAGTAAGCAGTGGCTGCTTTAAATGCAAACAGCTGCAAAAAAATTGTTTTCATACATCATGCAAAATTTGCTGGGAGCAGTTTGCAGGAATCTGGCGAAAGGATTGCGTTTATGGCTCAATCAAGACTTACGGCAGAAAAAACCATCTTGGAAACGATTACCAGAACAGTATTTGACAATTGCATCATTTGCATGGTTTCAGCAGGGATCCAGCTCTCTGCTGAAAGGTTCTGTACGAATCTGGAGAAGCGTTTGGCTTTGTGCTGGTTTAAACCTTTCAAAACTTTTATTTCCCAGCAATCGCAGTTTTTCCCTCTCAAAGGTTGCATGAGTTGAGTATTGGATACGTGAGCATGGGTATTAGATACCCTTGACCAAATTATTAGAACATTAAGATTCAACATGAGATGCTTGGCGAAGTGAAAATGATGTAAATCGGAACGATCGCAAAAAGAAAAGAAAAACTGGTTTTGTTTATTTTTGAGATTACCTTAGGGCAGCCAATGAGCCTCTGCGCCGTGCGGGATGCTTCTAACTTTCTGCGAGCGCTCAAGCTAAATTTACAAGGTACAATTATAGATGCAAAAGACTAACCGACTGCGTATCACATACCTACCGTTACCTGAGCAAACATCTGTGTATATATCAGGAGGCGGATTCGAGCTAAACTTAGTGGTAGATTCAAAACTCTGGCAAACTTTGGTAGAGTTCGTAGTCATTTTTCAAAAGCTATGACGGTATTGTAAGAGTTTCCATTTATTTTTCATCAAAGTTTCTAAATGGTGAAGAAGACTGATCGAGATTTAGAATTTTTTGGATGAATCGCAAATATTCTTGATGAAGCCAGTTGAAGGGAAGCAAAAAATGTTGCATGCAGACAGTCTTTATCAGCTTTTTGCAAAAACTTTTTTGAGCACCATAAGCACCTTTTAATTAAACATTACATCAAACTTTGTCACTACTCTTTTTGAAAGATCATCTATGCGCAGCTGAATGTCCATCTTTCTAGAATCGTCAATGTCAATGCAAAAGGGGCAAAATCAGGGTGCTGAAGCTTAACGAAAAGTTATACTGCAAATTTGTAGCCCGAAATCGTCATTTGTCAATTCGAAAACCTCTCTCGAATTTATTGTCTTTGCAATGTTCAATTTCAAAGACTATCGAAGTTGTTTACCATCTTTTCATCAGAATATATGATGTGAAGCGCTGAAATTATTGGACATTTCACCACTGTCATACCAAATGGTGTCAGATGCTTGTAACTGACGCGCTTGAAATGATGTGAAATGCGATCATTCCTCCTGATTCATAACTGAAAAAAAACTTTGCAGGATGTGTCTTCATATGCATTCGTTTTGACTCTTCGAACTTGAAAAACCAAGTCCATTCGCTTTGCAGCATATTCGCCTATTCATGCAATCGACAACTATACGATGTGGTAGTACAGTGCAGAGGTAATAGTGTAAAGGACGCAATATATTGCATCTATAATTGTACCTTGTAAATTTAGCTTGAGCGCTCGCAGAAAGTTAGAAGCATCCCGCACGGCGCAGAGGCTCATTGGCTGCCCTAAAGTAATCTCAAAAATGAACAAAACCGGTTTTTCTTTTCTTTTTGCGGTAAATTGGTCAAGGGTATCTAATACCCATGCTCACGTATCCAATACTCAACTCATGCAACCTTTGAGAGGGAAAAACTGCGATTGCTGGGAAATAAAAGTTTTGAAAGGTTTAAACCAGCACAAAGCCAAACGCTTCTCTCCAGATTCGTACAGAACCTTTCAGCAGAGAGCTGGATCCCTGCTGAAAGCATGCAAATGATGCAATTGTCAAATACTGTACTGGTAATCGTTTCCAAGATGGTTTTTTCTGCCGTGGTCTTGAGTGAGCCATAAACGCAATCCTTTCGCCAGATTCCTGCAAACTGCCTTCCAGCAAATTTTGCATGATGTATGAAAACAATTTTTTTGGAGCTATTTGCATTTAAAGCAGCCATTGGTTACTATTTGTCACCTAATCCAATATCTGGTTACTGTTTTGAATTTGATTTCCGATCACTTTTAGTCATTTTTTACAATTCTACTGGACAATAATCGAGAAGTGTTATCGTTGATTCGTTGACCGCATGGGCTGCTCAAACGCGTTCAAGGAATTTTGACGAGTTGCAAAGCTCTGCTTATCGGTACATTCACATCCACGATCCATTGCAGTTTATGGGTGGGTGTACGTTTCATGACCATTTCCTTCAACGAACTGGTATTTTTATCAGTTGAACAGCTAGAGGCCGGACAGTGATAATCGAACAAAGCATCTATAGTTCTAATAAATATAAAGATGGCATACATTTACAGACGTTTATCTCAGCCGTTAACGTTATCAGTGTGCCCCACCTTTACAATTATCGACATTCTAGAAAAGAAACGTCTTCAAGAAATTCAAAAAATCATTTGTAAGCATGTTCGAGGTTCCGCGCGGAAATCTGCAACAACTGCGCACTTCTGTCCACCACAGCTCGTGGTACTAGTCGGGGTAGACCTATTGGTGACTTCTTGTCCTCTACCCAAAATACATGATCAGCCTCCTCAGTAAGACACTTAAGCCGCGGCTGTGTCTCAACCAGAGATTTCAACGGTTTCCACTTAAGATCTTAGGAACCTAGACTTGTTCTTGATGTTGAAGGTTACATAGTCCATAAAAAAAGACTCTTACAAAGCCTCTAGTAAAGTAGAACTTTCTTTCAAAAATTACAGATGTTAATCAGTAAACTCAGATGTGAATGCTGAAGTGTTTATGTAGACGTTTTCAACAAGGGATAACTGTTTCAAAACTCGTCCTGGCTTGTTGTGCGATCAACAGTCACATGCACAGTTCCAGTTTATGTTGCAATTGCCTCCCTTGCAGAATTGAAGCAAACCGATCTATTGCGATGGAATACAAGACCAAGACTTACATAAAGTTTTTTGCATTTCGTAATGCAGAGACGCACAGAATCTCGAAGACTCGGCGGGTAAAAATCTTTGCATCTCCCAATAATTTTTGTTTTCCCCTCCACCGTGACTTGCAATAGGAGCAACAGCATCAGCAATTTGACTAGCGGAAGCATGATCTTTTCTGGAATGAGATCAGATGTTCCGTTACGATCCCAAGCAAACGAAAGCTTCGTGCAAGTGTTTGAGCTACTAACAAGGAAATGATACTCGGTGTCCGTGGCCTTTTGAGATGATATGTATACCATTACAGTCGCCTTGGAACACTGATTCCGAATCTGACTTCTGTTTCTGCTAATCGCTTCAAAAATGTTATAATGGATCGCGCGGATTATGGATGCCCAGTGAAATATGGTCGGAGCGCCATCGCTGCGGGTGCACTATGGTCTAGTGGTTAGTGCGATAGCCCCATGAGTTGATGCAGTTGCAAGTTCGAATCCTTTTGTGTTTTTCAGTTTTGCATTGCCTCAATTAATCTTCATTCGCATCATCGAGCTAAGTGAACGCCCTTACTCTTCAAAAAATGTGGAAATTCGGAAAAAATGATCACTATTTGCGCTAAATTGTATCCAATGATCATAGCTCAAGTAAATTTTCTCGAACAAGCTTAATTGAGGTAATGCAAAATTAAAAACACAAAAGGGTTCAAACCTATACCTGCATCAACTGATAAGGCTATTGCACTAACCACTAGACAAGAAAGTGGCCGCGATATAGGCCGTTCCAACGACTATATTTCCCTTGAGCAGCCAAACTTGGCTCAAAATTCTCCCATAACTTCTTTCAGAGAAACGATTAGCAGAAACGGAAGGCAGATTCGGAATCACCGTTCGAAGACGAGTGTAATGGTATGAATCACATTTTAAAAGGCCACGGACATTAAGTATCGTTCCCTTGTAAGAATAAATTGGATATCTGACAGAAGCAAAAGATATAGCCTAAGATCTGGAGAAAATCTTCGAAAGACTCGGACGTATAAAAGCGTTAAAATAGTATACTAAATATACAGAATATATGAAGGTTTCGTTTAAAAGTTCCACTTTTAAACTAAACCTTCATATATTCTTCGGCACAGCAGCACTGAAGAATATATGAAGGTTTTTTGCATGAGTTACATATTTACTATTTATTTATCTCGAATTTTTGAAACGTTGGCTAGATTGCTGTTAATTATAGGTGTATAGGACGGTCACTACTCAGCTTTTTTTGCAGTTTGATGAACTACCGCAAAAATGATGAATAAATATTCGCAAATTCAAATAGTGCATACGAACTTCTAACACCCATCTACATATGCCGC